GATTCCAATAAATAATAAAAGATAGATATCATATATAATAAAATACCAGAACGAAGGAGAGAAAGAAAGACGATGAATAAATGAAACAAATAAGAAAAAAGAAAGATCAAATCAGAACATAGAAAAAATCAAATAATACGAAAAATAGAATAATAAGTAAGACAAGAAAGAATTCAAAATAGAACACGACTACGAAAGTCGAAACGAATTTTGCCAAATTCAAAATTTGATGCTCGTAAACGGATCCAAATTATAAATCCTGGAAGCTTGGACCTTCAAATAGAATCGTGAAGTCGGAAACCTTATGCACCAAGTTCATATTGCAAACGACTACATGCGCATGCGGATATGCAGAGGGCCTGGGCAGCTCGGACTTTAGAATAGTCTTATATCCTTAGCAGAGAATTCGATCAATATCATTCTAAAGATACGGGAATCGCCCATCAACTGACCTGTCAACCCTTTATCAAACTCTGGGTTTCGAATCTCAGAATGAATACTCGAAAATGCAATGTGCCGAATAACAAATAGAAAGTACGCTCGGATAAGATACAACGCCCATATGACGTACGCCATATTATATGATCTAAATTGGCGTAAGAATCATCAATCACTTCGATCCAGAACCCATTTTCGAACTGGCTGCCCTCGGTGGTTGCATGTCGCTGTCTTTGTCCCGCCAACATGCCCGATGTGCGGCTTCGACGACGTTTGCTGCCACTAGTACTTCTGCGACGTTGCGACGACGAAGACCACGACTACAACGACGGCTGCTACTACTGCTGCTGGTATTACTGCTGCTGCAACTGCCATCCCTACTCAGCTACTGCTACAACTAGTACACCACGGACAGTGCCATGTTGACCTCGACGACGAGCCCTGTGTACTCAGTAGGTCAGTAGGCACCCACACCCGCCCTTGCCAACTACGGTTACCGAAACCGGCTGCCGCAGGGCCGGCTTCTGCAGGTGAAGCTTGTTGGTTCAGGGCTTAGCTTGCCTTGCGCTGGACTCTGACTGCGGAGCCTGCAAAGTGGACAAAGACAAAGCCTGGTATTGCGACATTTACACTACTGCTACTGCTCCTGCTAAAGCTAGTGCTATTTCTACTGTAATTGCCACTGCTCTCCCATTATCGTGGAAAATGCACGCAGGTTCCAAAAAAGTGCGTCAACTTGTATGTCTCTCAGCACCCTAAGCAGCATGTGAACAAAGCAAAACGGAAGCAAAGCGCGAGGCAAACAGTATGCTACTGCTACTGCTGCTGCTGCTGCTACTTCTTCTTCTTCTTCTTCTTCTACTACTACTACTACTACCACTCCTACTCCTACTCCTACTCCTACTCCTACTCCTACTCCTACTCCTACTACTACTACTACTACTACTGCTACTGCTACTGCTACTGCTACGACGACTACTGCTACGACGACTACTACTACTACTACGGTGCAACTGGTACTCCTGCTCCAACCACCGCGACTGCTAGTGCAGCATATTACTACCACTAGAAGGACCTCCGCTTCCTACCCCACTTCTGCTGCCGTTGGTGTACTACTGCAACTGCTACTGTTTCATCTTTCTTTTGCACCTTGTGCTACTATCACAGACACATTGAAAACCAAGCTCTGCTTGGTGGTGTTACATATAGGCCGCACATCCAGCGTTTCGGCGGGTGATGCGGTGGCGATGTGCGCAGCCGGAAGCTGCAACACAAAGCTTTCCCTCAGCAAGCGGCCAGAACATCTGACTAAGTCCACATCCCTCTTTACTGGCACGTTTAAACAGGTGGAAGTGATGCCATGCGCTATTATGTGCAGTCTGGCCAGCGATGCCATCCGCCTGCACGGACAACTTTCTGGGAGTGGTTGCCCCCTTGCTGCAGCTGAAGCGTTTCAGCGGGAAGTGGGAGGACCGCTTGGGAGTTTTCAAAAGCCGATGATGAGAGATTAATCTTCCGACAAGCCGTTTTCGCAAGATGCCAACGGAGACTCGCCAAACAACGAGCAAGATCAAGCAGCAGCACCACCAGCAGCACTGCAGCAGGAATCATGAGCCTGTTACATGGAACATAATGGAACCAATTCGAGACTGCGTCAGGATCTGAGGCCTTGACCAAAGATCTTGAAGCGATCTCTGCTAGTTTCTCCTCCGTTGCACAACTCGATCGTATTGAAGACGCTAGGTCGCTGACTGTCCAGACGAATTCGGAATGTTTGGGGTCGTGCGAATCGAGTTTTTCCGGCCCTGGCGTTCGACCCCCAAGCTGGCGCTCCAAGTTCCGAGTGCAGCGTAACCGGTCGAACCTGCCCTGTTAGGTGGAATCTGGCAAGAGGTGTCATTGTTGTGGTTGAACCTTCCTTGCACAAAAAAGGTCCAGAAAACTGTCGAGGCGTGAATGTCGTCATTGATGTAGGGCTTCGGCATAGGGCTTGGTTCGTGGCTTTCTTTCGGGTAACAGGGTGGTGCCCTCACTGTCATTGCAAGTGCATGTACACTTATATATGTACGAGTACCTATATGCCTATATGTATATTATAGCAATTGTATATATGGGATGCCCGCATCGGATGCGTGGGCAGGTTATCTCAGTCGTTGAGACCCCTGCTCAGACTCCGTGGATGGTCGCTCCGCATGCACACTCTCGTGGGGAGCCATGACAGGGAAGATGCTGATTCATGGATGGGAGGTTCAGATTTCAAGATCTTCTGTGGCGTGAGGAGGTCTGGGTTCCAGGTAGATGTCGAGAATAGTCTGCTGTTTGGGGTTCGGGGGTCTGAGTCTGGAGATGAGAGCATGTCGGCTTGTGAGGATTGAAGATGACACACTTGCAAAGTTCAGGGTGTGGCTCAAGGTCCCCTTTTCTCCAAATCTGGAACACCCAAATCCCTAAGTAAACCATGCAGTCTGAACCCCCACAGTTTGGACCCAACCAGCTCAATCTTTCAGCACAGGGATTCAAAAGGTTGCGCTATGGAGAGCTTCGGATGTTTCGGGACCTCCCGGCTTGGGGCTTCGCTTAGGATCGAGGGCTCAGGGTTTGGGGCTGGGGATTTGGAGTTCGGGCTCTGGCCTAAAACGCTCTCCCCACATTGAGAAGATACGAGTACCTGGCTTCGGTTCATCCTGGGTGCCGGATGGCCGTCGAGGCGTTTGACTAAGGCTCCGGGTTTGTATGTTGCTTCAGCTCAGGGTTATGGCCCGGGGCAGAGGCTTGAAAACGCTTGGGCTTGTGGCTCAAGACTTGGTGGATCTAGCCCTTTGGGAGCTGGGAATCTGAGGAGTGTGGATGAACCAAGCCTGTCAGCAACGCGACTTCTCACAGGAAGTCGTGCAAGTCTCGAAGCGTAATGTGGCCGTTCGCCTACAGAACAAGAAACTGATGCCAGCCTCCGTTGCCGGTGCTGACAACTTCACAAAACCCAATGGAATCTCCGGGTGTCAGCCCAGCATGGCCCTCCACAAGCAACAACCTCACAACAAAAGTTCTTCAACAGCAGCCCTTGAATGCAAGATCCCTCGGGGAGGCATTGAAGCATTCAATACCGGGACCTGCATGCCAAGACCCTGCCGTTGCTTCTGAGGTTATTTTGTTTCCCCACATTTCGGGGCAGGAAGCTGAAGCCCTGGCACCGACCGATGCCTCGGCAGCTCCCGGAATGGGTAAACCAACCGCTTGAGGGTCTCTGTCTAAAGTTCTTTCAAGCCCAACACTAACTCCAAACCTTATCAAGCCCTGAAGCCTCAATCCCGAAAGCCTGAACCATTTATCCATCTCCGCTGTTGAGTTAGGGAGCTTCGGGTTTGGAAGTAAAGGTTAGGGAGCTTGAGGTTCAGAGTTCAAGACATGTGGGGCGGTGGATTCAAGGCTGGTGCTGATAGAGCCCGGGCTTCCAGGTTGGTGGCACCGGAAAGTTATAAGAACTTCATTAGTATCTTTCACGGCGGTTGGCGCACATGATACGGTCGCCGCGCAAGCTGATACACCTCGGCGATCCCAATTTCGTGAGACAGCGAAGCTCAAGCGAGCGATGGCCTAAACCCGATGGACCGTAGCTCGAATGCTTTGATCCGGAAAGTAGACCGTCAACACCTTTGGAACCAGGATATGCTTCTTGCAGAATTTTAACTACGTTTTGCATGACGTCAAGCACGGGCTTCTACTTCATGGTCCGGGTGCAGGCGCACGCCCAGCTTTCACTGCAGTCATGAGCTGCAGCAAATTTTTGTTGCAACCTCGGGAGAACAATGAGGTGTCAGTACGAGGTCATGGGCTCGAGGGTTGAAGGATTCCGGCACATGTTTGGGACATATTGTAATTGGAGCTTCGATATGCTGCAAGGCGGTTGCCTGTTCGAGGATCCCAATGCAATACTCGGTGCCCAGCGACATTGTTGAAACCCAATGATCCTGAAGCCCCCAGCTCTCGTACATATCACCACCCCGTAAACCGTCGATCTACCGTCAATTGAAGCTTGGCCGCAGCCAGCGCCGTCTCCCCTTAGCAGCCGGCTGCCTCCCGACAAGAAATCAGATCTACATATTTCGACTAAGACAGAGGATTGTGGCAAAGCCTTAGGGCCCTAGGCTTGATGGCTCAGGGGCTCAGGCTGATGGGCTGATGGTTTCCCGGGTGTGCTGATGCTTTCGGGCTTGGGGAAGGATTTAGATTCCGGGCAGCCGCGCAGCTCAAGGTGTGCAATCGGGGCTCTCCCTGAACCCTACATCCTAGAAAGACACCCTGCCAGACTATCATGCCCAGCCTCGTTTCTTACGGCATGAGATATGGTCTTAGATACTATCCCCTCAAGTTAAAGCCGAAAACACGACTGAAGCCACAAACATCAGCAATGATGCCCCCCAAGCTGTTACGTAAGAGTCACAGAAAGGCTGGTGGCAGAAAAAAAATACTTACGAGAAGACTCAAAACGGCAGAAACAAAAGCGAAACCACGAGTAAAGACCATCCTCCCCCGCTTCATGCCTCCCAAGTAGGGCCCTGCGGTCAAACGACGATCATCGTCGCCTCATCTGCATTCGTTTTAATTTCAAGAGTGTGGGGGCCGTGTCTGAGGACTGCTCGACGTTCTGGAGAGAGGTTTCTGAACGGTCGAAGCCCTCACACCTGCAACCTCGAAACCCCAATGGAGGAAGTCACGGGGAAGCAACGGACGGCAACTACCCTGGTGTGACAAGAATCGCACAGCTCCGGTTTGAATGAAACGGGAGCAGTGGCTCGTCACGCAAGGTACAAAACAACATGTTGCATTCTGTTTCTAAATATGAGGTTGAGTCCTGTCGCTGACAGCCACTTTACAGCATAACAAGCGCGAGACGGTGAACCATGCATCTACACTTGCAGCGGTTTCTACGGCTGGCCTTCTGCGTAGGGCGGCTTGCCGCAGCGCACGCTGCGGCAATCTGCAAGTGAAGGGGCCGCGAGACTCTCGGGATATGAAGTAGGTTTGCTCCGTTACTCATGACTCGTACACCCGAACAGAAACCAAGTACACAATCACCAGTACAGGTTTCTGGGCAGGTCTAGGCTCTGCCGGCGCTGTTGTCCATGCTTTGGGCCTATGGGCTTCAACTTTAACGTTGAACTGCTTCAGCTAAATGCAGGGTTCAATTGGGTTTTGCTTCATTCTGCAAAGCAAACTGATACTGCAAGCCCTGAAGTTCTGCGCAATCCTTGAGAAGCCGCAAGCCTCTGCAAGCCTTAAGTCCTAAACTGAACCCTGACAAGGCTTGTCGGTCTGGGTAGCTTGCGGGTTTGAGGCCTTTGAGGCATGTTTGAGGTTTTCTGGGGGCTCGGTGCGGAACGCCGATTTAGGACTCAGCTGCCGCCCGAACGTCAAGCTGCATTGCTCTGAACCGCTCGCCTCCGCAACCTCTGCCTCCTTGAGGACATTGGACCAAGCCGCCTGGACGTGAGGCTCTCCGGGCCCTAAGCCCTCATCCTATGACCCCCCAAAAGCCAAAACCTGAAACTTGAAACCTGAAGCCCATGCCGGAGTTGATTGCTGCAAGCCAGTCGGATCAAGCGTGGGGCCTTTAAAGGTTAACCCGGATGCTTTGGTTGCCTGTAGCTTAACTTAGTGCATAGCAGTGCTCGGTGCTCGAAAAAAGAGGGGAGGGGAGTCAAGGCAGCGATAGAAAAATCGGACCTGAGATTGGCACCAGCTAAAAGCTGAAAGCTTGAAAGGTAGTATTTCATGCGTATGTATATATGTATATATATATATATGTATACATACCTATACACATACATGTATAAGCCCCTCTCTGTCGCCGCAGTCGTACCAACATCTGCTCTGCAAACGTTTGGTATTAGGATCGGGCTCTTCTTGGTAAACTCAAGATGCAGAAGCCATACCACACACACTCCACCATAAACTTTCCAGTCAAGCTGGCCTTCAGCTTCATGGCGTGCTTCGGGGCACAGACCTTACTTGCAAGGACGGTCACAAGAAACGGATGACGCACAGAATCGGGTTTCTGATCTCACACTCAAGTCACTAGCATCAGAGACGCATCGACATTGGTCGTCGTCGTCGTCATCCTCCTCCTCCTCCTCCTCCTCCTCGCTGTCGTCAGTGTGACTTTGTCATCATCATCATCATCACCCACGGTAGGGACACAGACCGCAGCACCAGTTTTCTTAGGCTGAAGACTACCCTCCCCGTTGCTCAGAGGACCGAGCTGGGTGTAGCCGAACTCCCCATGCAGCATTCACAGGTCAAAGTTTTTCAGTTTGGATTTGGTCTGCACTTGCTGTGGGCACTCAGGACTCAAGCCCAGCCTGAACCGAAAGGCCAAATCTCAAGTCGCCCGAAGAGGTCGGGCGAAGTACGTGAGATGTGGAAGGAAGTTTTATAGATTTAGTGGACAGCATGTTTATGGAATATCAAGGACTCCTACATTCCTTGTCTAAGGCAGCAATCTAAGCACAGTTCCACAGACAGATCTGCGGAATCCTAAGTCACACACTCTAGCCCCGACAGAATCTCCGCACAAAACTTCCGAGCCCTGCGCCTCAGGAGGAACTTTCTGTACCTCGGAGACAATATGCAGACGAATGCAGCTATGTAGCTTGTTTGGTGCTTGGAGTTGAAGGTGTTAATCGTTGAAGACTGATCATTTCGAGCGCGGTTATGACTCATTGCTGTGGCTTGTGGTTACAGCTACTGCTGGGATCCCGCTCCTGTCACATGACTTGGTTGCCTTTTGAACTTTCGAAGGGCTTGGTTAGACAATGGCTAGTTGCATAGCGCTGGATTCCAAAAGCGTGCTGCATCACGAGCTTTTGTCCGTTTAAGCTGTTAACCCCTAAACCTTCAAGCCCCAAACCTTCGAACACTGAGCCGACACCAGTAAACTCACCGTTAGGACTGCTAAGTTGCCAAGCCTAGAGCTTTGGCTTGTGTTTTTTGGCTTCGCTTTGGAAAACAAGGTCGTATAGATGCTCCGATTTGGGACGTAAGACACGTGCCGTGGTCTGCCGACCAAGTCGAAACTCGCCGATATTGAGCTCAGCGCGTAATCCGAAAAAGCTCGTCCGTCCAACTGGTTCTCCTTAGCGAGACGGTTGCATCTGCATCTATGCGGCTTCAGGCTAGGGCATCCTCGTCAAATTACATGCCGTGAACGATGTATGGATGCATGAAACCTGCAGTTTCCACGTCTCACGCTGGTAAGAGACACCTAGCAACTTCGTTACTTCATCAATACCAATCGAACGAAGAAGCTTTGGCAACGAGTGCACACGGTCAGGTGCAGCTGGAAGACTCTCAAGGGCCAAGGGCCTAGGGGTTCCTCTCGCTTGTGCCTGATGTTTCAGGTTTCGCAGTCCATAGCATTAGACTCATTGCCCTTGCCTTTCTGGAAGAAGTCGTGAGACGTGTGTCGAATGGACAAGGCAGGCTTAGTCATTCCAGTGCCGGTGTAACTGGGCGTTTACAATCTGCGGGAATGACGGGAAGCATCCTGGGCTGAGCATTCTTGGACGCGCACTGCAATCAGGTCGGCGAGGTGCTCTCGGGTCCTCTTTCCAACCGTGGATCAAGGTTCCGTGGGGTTTTGGTTTACGGGTGGAGGGCGAGGTTTGCGACTTACGGTTTTAGGGCCTAGATTGACAGATGGAAGCGCAAAGCTCTGATGTACAAGGTTCAAGCATGTCTGTCTAAGCAGTGCCATACTGCTCCAAGAACGGTTAACCATTTGGGTTCGGGCTGCACCGGTAGGGTAAAGAACCTATTAAAAGGCATGGTCCGACAGTTCTTGCAGATGTGCAGACCAGATTGCACGAGATCGAGAAACTCCTGAGCGAATACGGGCGACACACTTTCAAGTTCCACAATACTTACGGATGAATCCCCGAATCCTCTGCAAAGCAATCCGAGCCCCCCTGCGGACATGAAGCCCTCTTGGGTGCCCTGCTTCTCTGGTACATGCGACTCGGGCAGGGATCGGACCTGGCATAGGAGCGTCGCCGGAAGCTACAGCTGAGCTGAAAGTTCAGGGCGCGGAAAAGGGGAAGGCGAAGCGGTCCAAGGACCTTGGTTTGGGATCCAAGGCCTGGGGCTTAGCAAGCGGCCTGCCGGGCTCTATTCGGGAGTGAAGCTTGTCAAGCCTGCCGTAGCGGTGAGGTCCCAACCCTCCATGTGAGCTCGAAAGAAAGACTTGGACAGCTGTGCCACGGTGCAGGTATTTTGGAATTCAGCACATTTGTTTCTGTCGAATGTAGACCGAAGGAGTGCTTTCAGCAAGCTCACACATTGGGGATATCTCACCCGCCGAAAGTCCTTGGGTTTGGTTTCTCGTAACCTGTCCGGACAGAAGAATCATGGATCGGCCCACAGTCTTTATCATTGACTGGTCGGCAAGTGAGGATTGAGGCTTTATAGTCAAACCTGCCACTTGAAGAGCATCTGCAAGGACAGTGGGAGACTGGCAATGCTACAAGACAGGCATCTGCAAACCGAGCAGGTCCAGGCTAGAGCAATCGTGGCGTACGAATGTGCGAGGTGCTTCTCCTGTTGTAGCAACCAACCTCTAACGGTTCACGGTTTCAGGCCTGTAGGGCATCAGGATCCTTCACCCTAGATCTGAGCCCTGAGGTAAGCCCTAGACCAATGCCTAGGTCGACTACCTGTCACCCTGAACCAAAAAGCAGGAAAGAGCTGGGAGATCCGACCCAAGACATGATCCAGTCTGGAGATCTGCCAGGGTCCGGATCTCAGTGGCCAGGTTTGGGGTGCTAGGGCTTAGGCCAGCGGTCTCTGTAAGTTCAAAAACAAGACCTCGCATCCGAAGCACAGCCTCCATGCAATTCTATGCCTAGAGCCCCTAGGCTCCCCTGTGCAGAGGTACGAAGACTGATCCACCCACGTAGAACAGCCTGCAAGATTGGGTCTGTAAGTTATCTCGCTCTTACATGGACATGAATACAGAAATTCATGGATGCATATATTCCTAAACACGAACACAAAAGCCCAGTCCAAGGACGCAGATGTTCATCCTTAGAAGCAGAAGAACACACTCATTGTTGGTCTTCACTAGAATCAACAATTCACCGTTTCTGAACCTTACCACTCATGCTTAAATCTTTGCTACCAAGTGGCTGCTGGCACCCGAGGGTGCTGACTTCGCGCCCGAGCGCACACTGCTAGCACTGCTGCCACCGCAGCCTCCGATTTCAACCGGGAGAACAGGCAGCTGCCCGAACATTTCGCAAGAACCAAATGTAAACGTTCACTGAGAGCAATTACGGACGTTGGTCGTGTCAACCGGAAGGAAACCACAGCGTAAGTTCCTACCCAGCAGTCCACTTCAGAGAAGGTCTCTGAGGCATCGTTGGGAAAGCTTCTCCAGTCGACGGCTCTTATCTCATCAGATTTGTTGGCCATGACTACTCAATAAGGACGAGCTTGTAGACTCGGCACTGCAACCGTTGAAAAAGGGTGGGGTCGGGTCCCTAGAGTCAACTCCAAAAGCCTAACTACTAAAGCCCTGCACCGTTGATCATTTTCTGGTGACTGGGCCTTGGCTCTTTCCTGTTGCTGTTTTGCATCGACCCTTGGACCCGGGATCCGCATGAAGCAAGCTCTGCACCTGCGTGAGCTGTACACGAACTACATGTATCGAGAACTGTGAAGCTCTCAGCTCACGCCCGACAGCAAAAGCTGCAAAGAGTCCGGAACCGACACTCACAAATACTCAAAGGTGTCTAGGCCCGAAGTATCTAAACCTTCACGTTTGGCCCAGGAGTGCGCTGCACTGCCTGTCGTGGATCCACCGGATGGTGTCGCCGGCTTCTGACAGGGCGGTTCAGGTTAGTGTTTACGAGGCCGAGATTGAGACATTGGAGACTAGCCGCCCAAGCCCGAAGCTACGAGTCGAATTTTCCAAACCCTCCAACATTGATGAGTCGATGACGAAGCCGACAATGACGACGAAGCTGCTTGCGATAATGATCAAGACGACGATGCGGGTGTTGGCGGTGAAAATGACGTCTGTATGCGTGTATGTAGAAAGTACTAGTCACGCACGTAATAGTATGTATCTCTACGTCCATCTTACCCACCGAGGGTGCGATACCGGCCCGGCTTCCCGCACGAATGGACGCTAAAGAGCCGCCTGCTTAGGCGCCAGGGCATCGCCCAAGGAGCGGCCACCCCAAACTGCGGAGAGGCGGTGCAAGGTTGGCGCCGAACCGCAAAGCAACGCGAATAAGCGTTAGAATTTGGGTGGAGGCTATGAGTCCAAATCGTAGAGTTCAGGATTCCAGAACTCGATTAGATGCATGTCACATGTCTATGCTGCTACAATGGGTTTTGCCGTCATGATATCGGTCTTGCACCTGTTGCGAGCTTTGGAACTGGAAGATGCAGATCACTCGGTCGGAATCGGAGCTTCCACTTTGACTTTGTCTAATTCTACGTCCTTGCGGATTATTCGACGTTATGGTCGCACGGCTATCCCTGTTAGTGGAACGGCCGCAGGCAGGGCCCTTTATCAGGGTTTGTGAGCGACTCTGCACCCGCGAAGATAGGTTCGAGTACGGATACTGTCAGTGCGACAGTGCATCTTTAGCCCCATCTCAGCTACGAAATGATTCCCTCAAAAGACCAGTATGGAATTCCAAACTCCATGATACTCTACAGGCCACACATGAGCTCATGAGCTCCTTCTCTTCACTATCACTATATACCACTACGACTCTTGTCGTGTGGCTCTGAGACGTTGGGCAACTCCTTGGCTTAGGCGCCAACCATCCTCCTGCGGCGGCGGGCGTTGTGCCCGGGCGGCAGGCCTGATAAACCGGAACGTTGCTGCTGCTGCTACTACTACTACTACTACTACTACTACTACTCCTACTGCTACGGCTACTGCTACTACTACTACTACTACTACTACTGCTACTGCTACTGACAAGCTACTGCTACTGCTGCTGCCACTGCTACCGCTACGGCTACTGCTCCTGCACTACTGCTCCTGCACTGCTACTACTACTACTACTACTACTACTACTACTACTACTACTCCTACTCCTACTCCTACTCCTACTCCTACTGCTACTACTACTACTACTACTCCTACTGCTTCTGCCTAGGACTGCGGCCTACTGTGCATGTGTGATGACTGTTGCCACCGCTAAGCTACCACTCCGAAGTTGCTGGCGCTGCTGCTCTGAGTAACATTCCTATCGCTGAGCAGGAAGAATAAATCTTGGAGCCTGCAGAAGTTTCAGGCGGACACAAGATCTTGCTTAGTTGGATTTTGAGATTTTCGACAGGCTCGTGAACGTTCATGTTTGTCATTATGTCATCACGGGCTCTGCAAACTCCAGGCCCTAGGCGCTGCCCCTTTACTGCCGCCGGTCGCAGAAAAGCTGGCTGAGTTGCTGCTCAGAAGGTCAGAACAGCCGCAAGCAAAGCATTAGGCCTACCGTGCGCGATGTACAAACTGTATGGGAGGAAGACTTCTACAAGAGTTTGGGGGTTGAGACAATGTGGAGACTCGGGTCCTTGGAGTGCACTTTTCCGGGCTTTAGAGTTGGAGCTCTCAAGGTTAGTTCATGACACCCGGATGCGAGCCTCCTGGGTGGAGGTGGCTCGTCCTGGGAGCGAACGCATTGATGATGATGACGATGATGAAGTGGTGGTTTTTTTGGACTCCGACAGCTTTGTGGAGTATCTCTCGTTAGACGCACGACATATCTCCAAAAGCACGGCTCTCAGAAGCAGATCGGCGACAGAAATGCGAAGTAAGAATGATGGTAACGACAACAAACAAACTTCAGAACAGTAGCGGTCATCGTCGTGCTTATACAGCAGTAGCTATAAGTTCTTTACCTGAGCCCTGTACCTCGCAGTCCAAAGGTCCACAAGTCCTGCAAGCCTAAAATCGCCACGGGAGTTTCGGCTGCAGGAAAGTCTGGGTTTTAAAGTATAGATGTTTGAGATGATTAAGGGCTCGGGACAGCGACGCTCTCAACGCCGTAGCCCAATACCAATCGACAAATGCTGCGCTCGAGACATCTCTGCCGGAAGCTTCCGGGTTTGGTTCGAACTTTCTGGTACTCGTGGACGTCTCCCGCAGGGTGTCAAGCCTAAGCTCCGAAACCTTAGGAGGTCACATGCTTCTGCCGGTTCCATAGCCCTTCCCTTCCTGCACTACTTTTCGAAAAGTCCCACACCCTGTGCAGGCCGACACCCTATGGCCCTGTGCGCTGAAGCTAACCCCTCAACGGCCCTAAATGTCTAAAGCCCCAGAAGCCCAAGCCCCCAGTGGTCCTTGACGTCTTCCCTGGGATCTGCAAACCGGTCTTCCGGCGGCTCCTCGTCAAAATCCATGTCCGGTCCGGCCGGACCGTCTCGGAAACCTTTCCACGGCTGCGCACAAGGTTGAAAGTTTATGGCTTTTGTATGGGTTTTGTTTGGCATGCACTATGGCATAGCCATATTTCGACTCTCAGGCGCCGTAACTACGAATACCAAGACGACAAACATCGGATTAATATGGGGTTCAAGCCTGACAACCACAAAAGAGCTGAGAACCCTGAACCCCTCAAATTGTCACGTGCATGGGAAGCCTAAACATCGCCTGCAATCGGTATGGCCCAAACTGTCCGGGGGTTTGACAACTCGAACAATGTTTCGTCGTACTGTACGATTGGGCAGTTGCACAGAGGAAAAGACCATTGAATCATCAGCAGCGAGAAAGAATTCAAGCTCAGATATCACGACCCGCAAACTACTAGGTACCTCCGATACCTCTAGACCCTGCTACCCGAAACTGCGAAGCTCCTTGTTGATGCCGCCCTCCAAAGTATGAAAGCTTCAGCATCGAAGCCTGAACCCCCCTCGGAACGCAAACCCTACACCTCATAAACCGTAAACCCTGAATTCCTAAACCCAAACCCGCAGATCCGCCTTCGAGCGACATTTGTCGATTCGCGGGCTCACGAGGGCCTGAAGTCCAGCGAAAGACTTCGGCGGGTTAGTAGGGCCTAAGGCCCTAAGACCCTAAACCTCAAACTGAAAATTCAGACCCCGGTGAAGGAAACCCTGTACCCTTGCTTGTGCGCGGATCAGCTTTATTCTGCAGGGCTTCAGACCCTAGGGGTCAAAGGGATCGAGGCTTTTGGGTCTATGTGTCTATGGCTTCGGCTCTCGGGGAGCCCCAGCAATTCCCACCGAATCTAGGGGCCTTAACACTTCGAAGAGGGTTTTGGGGTATGTTATACTATAACCACATTAAGGAAACCTCCACAATATTGGTATTCAGGCCCCTACATTACCCGTCCCAGTCCAAGTGATTGTACGGCTTATCCACCCCTGTATCCCCAAACCCGAAATTCCCAAAACCTTGTATCCCTACATCCCTACAAACGAATCACTAAGCCCCATACACCCCCAAGCCCCAAACCAGTAAGCCCTCAACCTAAACCCTATATCCGAAGCGGCCCTAAAGGCCCTCTCAAAAGTTGAAGAAATTCGAGTCGCTACGAATTCCTGGGCCTTGGCTCGCTCTCGGGAGCGGCGGCACTCCTTGGGGGCCTGGCCCTGGCGAAGCGTCACAAAGGAGAGGTTTAGGGACATTTAGGGTTTAGCTAGGGTCTGGGGTTTAGTGCCAGAGTGTGTTCAAGGGGCTTTGCAGGGTTTATCGGATCTTGAAAGGTATGGGAGTTGAGAGCAGAGAGGCCTACTATAAGGCTAAGGCTGGGGGGTTTCGGGTTTGCCGGCTGCTTTGGCATTTTGGGATAGATAGAAGAATAGATCGGTTGATGGATGGATGGATGGATGGATGGATGGATGGAGAGACAGACAGACAGGCAGTCAGACAGACAGACTTCTGTCTCTATCAATGTACTTTGTATGCATTCTATGCATCTACACATTGGCATATTGTACTCGTATACACACACATATTATATATGTATATAAGTATATGCATAGGAAGCATGCATTATACCATATGTTCTATACATTTGTACAGTGTTATTTTACACATATTGGTATACTATACACTACAAATGTTTGTGTCTTCTATATTGTCATTATGTTGTTGTTACTATTATATACTGTTGTTGTTTTTAGCATTCCTATTATTATTGTCATTATTATTTTTATTATTATTGCTATTATTAGGTACTACTACTTTCACCTAAACTGACATTCTTATGGCAATAACCATTATTGCTACTATTTGTCTGATTCTTATTCTTAGCTTTCTACAAGTTTTGTTATTGCTACTATAACTGTATAAGTATGTATGTATGTATTCATATATGTGCAGATAGATATATACATACACGCATTCATCTGCTTTATATGTACAAACATACGTCTACAAAATAATCCACATAGACATACATGGACTGAAATTTTTCTTGCTGTCAAGACCAGAGGTTGCCCAAGTCGAACTGTACAACAAGGTTCCACGAAGCCGAGACACAACCCTCAATCCGAAACATGGTCAGAATGTACTGCACGCTTTATACGTAGGGCTGTTTGTGGTTCTGCGGGTCTCCATAAAGATGACACGCAAGCACCTCTAACTGAACAGTTCTTCGTCGGTGATTGACTAACACTGCGTGGGCGGCGGCTTAGATAAGCTGCCAGGGTATTCTCTGCTTCCCTTCCATCCATCCCTTCGCGCCGTCATCAAAGAGGTCGCCCCGCCAGGCGGCCCGCGGTGGTTCAACCGGAGGCGCCTAGCAGGAATGATAACCAAATCTTTCAAGCAACGTTTTGGAACACTGCTTTGAGCAACAAACGTGAGGTTTCAAAGCCCAGGTGACTCCTTGCGTGTTTTTTTTTGCATCCGGGGCTCTGCAGTTCGAATCCAAACCCGCAGCAGCAAGCTCTCTAGAAAGCCCTGACTTTGGGATCGAAGCCCCGTCAGCCACAACCATGACAACATCCCCCCCTCAGCCTCAGCATCTTAAGCCCCAAATCGTTTAATCTGTGGTCCGCAAGCAGTTGCGAGACCTGATACCCCGAAAGACACAAGAAACGACCGGAAGCCTGGAAATGGTCTTGAAGATCAAACTCACCTCGCCCTGAGGCTTTCGGTCGCATAACTCCCAAGTCGAAAAGAAAGAATAGGCCCCAAAGCTTGTGCAAGCGCAACCCGGATGCACAAGAGTCCGGAAACCTGACCTCGACCATGAAGACTGCTGGCAGGGCTTCGGAGATTCTCGAAAGCCATCATCAGCACGTACTCATTTCAACCAGCCAGTTTCCAATAACACAGCATAGTGGTCAGTGGTCGGAACTTCAGAAGACCTCGTTACTGTTCTTACTCCATTTATTTCAAAGCCGATCTCAACCCGGGCGAGAGAATCTTTTTGAGACGGCAGCAGATTCCGAAGGGCTTTGCTTCGGTAAAGCTTCCAGGCTGTATTTTCTTCGTCAGTCCGCATGAAGCTCCTGCCAGAACCGCTGCAGGGGCGGCAGCCCCAGCCTCAAGTCCGGCTTCAGATCTTTTGGTCGCTGGGACGTCGATGGGTATGGGAATTAGGGCCTTGGGTCTTAGAGGCAGTGCTTTTGAGGAAGCTTTGGGTCTTCGGGTTCCAGTTTGGAAATGCTTGAACATCCATGATTCCGATATCCTCACGCCACTCTGTACTGGTACAGTATAGTCACTCTAGCTGCCGAGAAGATCCAAAGCTCATGAGCCCAAGGACATTACAACCGAAGTTCCAAATCTCAGGCCAGGGCCCTAAAATCCGTCCAAAACCCTAGACGCTACTGAACCCCAAACCCTTCTTAAACTCCTACAGTGTAATATAGGGGCCTCAAGAATTAGAACAGGGTTTGGGGGTATATTTCTTTGTAACTATAATCAGGAACCCTCAAAATGGTATCGGCAATTGTCTAGGCCCCTATATGACCGGAGTTCTAGGGCGAAGACGAAGCCGGCATCCCGTTTCGGACACCTGGAGGCTCCAAGCTCATGTTCTGCTTTAGAGTTTGAGGTTCAGGCTTTTAAAGGCTTTAGGGCTTTCAGGGTGTGGCAGGGTTTTCAGGGCTCAGGGGTTTTTAGCAGCTGTAGAGTTTGGGGGCTCTGGGGTTCAGGTTTCAGCACCAGAAGTTCGAGCAGTCTCCAGATCAGCGGCTCACTTCGTCTTCGAACATCCACCCATCCACCCTTGCGATCCCGCAATATTGGGAACATAGTTTGGAACATATTTTGCGTCTGTGTTTTACTTCATTGTTCATGTGACAAAACCAGTGCAGTGCGGCTGTCGACCGATTGCGCAGATAAGTGTGGTTTTTCAAACCTGCTTGGAGATCGGCGAGAAGCATCATCCTGCAGGTGGCTTTTGGGAGCCAGCATCCTGTGGGTGATTCCGATCTTACAGCATCCTGTGGCTGATATTGGGAGCCGATCTGATACAGCATCCCGTGGATGATTGGCCTGGCTGGTTTAGCTTGGGGCCTGGTTCAAAGGCTTGACCGAAATCTGCCTTGCCTAGGCCGAAGGATTGGCAGAATTTGGCTTAAAACGACGAAGCAGACTTTAACGAAGGTCTGGCAGACATGCTGCCCACGATCCCCCAACCATGAATCCACAACCTGAGGCCCAAAGCCCGCACACCTCAAGAAGGAAGTCGTGACGAAACTGCCCCGCCTGGGCCGAGCACGCAATCGCCCCATTGTCCCAGCTCCAGCAAGTCAGGGTCGCCTGCAAGAGTCACATGCTCCGTTGCTGGCGACATGAATCAGGGGCTTGGAGGACAAAGTCTAGGCTTCATGGTCTGGATTTGGGATAAGAGGTTACAGGGCTGAGGGGGTAGCGGGTTGTCCTATCTTATCTCCATCCCTCGAGCGGGATCAAGTTGTCTGAACCTGCGGTTTCATGCCTGATCCTTCCAAGACCTAAGTCGGATAGCTCATAAATTACGCCTGCACTCCTAGTCACGAAGTTGCCCGAGACGACCCTTAACCCTCAGATTCCATACCCGAAGCCCTTACCTACCGAGAAGCCTCCACACCTTACAAACTAAATCTTCAAACCAAAAATCACCAACTCCATAACGTGAGGTTTATCGGGAAATACTGTAATTGGGAGGCTAGGTTTGGGCGGCCTTCGATTCTGGAGTCTAGGATCGTTTTCAGGGTTTCCCTCATTGTCTCTCGGGTTTGCAAGCTTTAGGCTTCATCCAAACCCAGGCATTTAGGGGCGTCCAGGGCTTTGGGGCTCAGTTTTCTGAAGTCTCGCGTAGTAAGACTAGGCAATGACGGCTAGACCCTTTAAGTATATATCAGACCACATAATACTGATGTATGATACATATATGTATGTATGTATGTATGCATGTACATATGTATATATGTCTGTGTGTATGTCTGCATGTATGTATATAAGCACGTACATACAGATATACATACACACACACATACATACATACCTACATACATACATACATGAACCCTCAAAGCACGAGCCTGACTCTCCGAGCAGCTGACGCTGCACCAGCGCGAAACTGGCACGGAGAGCCGCGACCTTCCATTCCACTGCAGGATGGACGACGGTGCACTATGGTACATGCATAGTTAGGAAGTTGGGACCCTCTGCGGCACCTTTGGGCTATGTCACCACCCACCGCCCGACCCTAACCTGCAATATGGGAAATCTGGATCAAACTCTGAGACCCAATACTTGCCCCCTACCTTGTTGCCATCGCTCTAAAACTGCCACGCTAATGTTCCATCGTTTTCCACGTTCCATGCCAGCGATCGCGCGTCATAAAACGAAACGACATTGCATTAGCCTTGGAACATTGGGAATGTCCTTTTTTTGCGTACTTCTACCTACTTTCGCGCGTGCTTCATTTTTTCCGCGTTTCATTTCCACGATCGCATCTCAAAAAACGAAATAAAACCGCGTTAGCTTTGGACCATTACGGATTTCTATGTTTTCGCTATTTATAGCGACTTTCGCGCCCGCTTCATTTTTCAGAGTTTCATTTACACGATCGCGTTCCATAAAACGAAATGACACCATGTTAGCTTTGGAACATTGGAGAAGCCCGCTTAGAATAGCTCGAAAGCGGCGAGGGGTTCCTTGTACAGTTTGGGTTGAAGCTCGGGGTTACAGGGTTAAGTCCGAAGCTTTACAGTCTTGGATTCTCCAATCATGTTGCAAAATATCATGTAGGTATAAGACAAAATCTTGGGGGAACCAGTTGCATATGAAGACTAGGCCTTGAAGCCTGGGAAACATGGGAGAAAGTGCAGGACAAAGTTCCGGATAAAATTAGGTTTCCGGCCAGAATCTCGGGACCACCATTGGGATGCACCGTCTAGGCATTGATACGACAATATCTTAAAATGAGAGCTGGTATGGGCTGCTGATAGATTGACTTCGACGTGTGGCGACACATCCGGGTAAAAACACTCTATACTTTATGCACAGACAACCCAGATAGCCACACGAATCCGTCTCTCGAGGTGCTCCGAGCTCCCGGCTTTGAACCAAGGTTTTCAATCGCTCAAGGGCGGTAAACTTTGCCAGTGGACCAAATTTCGCCACCAGCAAAAACGGTTCGAGTTTACTCCTCGCCGAGCGGCTTCCGCCTTATATCAACGAATTTTTGAAGAAGAATACCCGTGCATCCCAACAGCTCTGTTGCTCCCCATTCTGCATGCGATCCTCAGTAGAGGTATAATATCGGCATGCTAATGGTTGACCCCGTTGACAAGTTTGTGCATCCAGCGGCAATTCACGGCAAAAGTGAACGTGTAGCTAGTGGCTCGGTGGCTCGTGGGATATCGTGGGATGCTGCGTGAAAAAGGCAAAGCCCGAACTCCAAGCCCCGACAGCCCGAGCATGGAAAACTCGTAACACCCTCCACTTTAGACCAACACACCAACAACTCCAATAACCCAAAACCCAGAAAGCCCGAACGACCCCTACCCCTGAAGCAAGCATGATCTAAGCAGTCATACCACTCCGAACAGCTCCAGCAAGCAGCAAGTAGAGGCTCTCGCGCCACAGTCTGTGCGCTGAGTTGACCTCAACCGCCTTTCATGCTCTCCAACAGCTCAGCTCGTGATAGTTTGACCCTTCACCCTACAACCCATGAACCTTGATCCTAAACTCCAAACCCCGAAACCTTAAACCCAAACCCCAACCGAAGCCGGAAATCCTTAAACCCTCCCAATACCCAAAATTACGAACTGCAGCATGTTTTTGGGTGTGCCTCGAAGCCAAGGGCTTGCCCCGGCAGCGTCCCCAAAGCGGCCAGGAGCACCCCTCAGCATGGATTACACTAAAGGGGGTTTAGGCTGGGCTTAGGGCTTGGGGTATTTCATACCCTGGTATATACCGATCTTTGCACGAAGTATTGGAGGCCGTTTCGGTCTGGCAATAGGCGCAGATAACAGCTCCTTCAGGATCTGCAATGAAGGTTTGCGAAAAGGAAAAGATCAGCAATCGCATCAGCGATCCAGCAGAGCGAAAAGTGTAAAAGGTGTCTGGCTCATGACCAAAATCACAAGTCGACGCTTGGCGTCAGCCCCGTGCTCTCGAGACCAAAGCTAAACCAAAACAATCTGTCGGATGTACCTGACAGAGGTAGGCATGGCTCGCAGGCCTTTCCCATCTTGCAGGGCCGAGCCTAGCCCTTCATCTGGACCATTCCGAACATCACCGGCTTACCGTTGGCCAGGAAAGCAACTCTTGAAGTTGGTTCGCACACATTCC